CCCCCAAGGGGGGGGGGGGACAGGACACCATCCATATGAGTACGACTTGGTCATAAAATTTCACCACATATCTTGACATAGAAAGATCTGCACATACTATAAGCTGTTGTATGGCGGAATTTTTGTTAAATTTTTTTTAAAGCACTAATGACATCAGCAAGACCTCTTAGTTTTGCCACAGGTTGCTGCCCACTGAACTGATGGGTGCGGGTCCCATCACAGGAGATAAAATCTTAGATCTCGCCATGTTTTCACCTGGTATGACAGCCAGGCTGGGTGCTCAGACTTGTTCCTCTCTCAAATATCTTCCCCACCAAAACATCACAGACCTCAACTATCCCAGGGGGGAGGCTGGAAGCTGGCCTTATGGGGTAAGATATCTGAACGATCAAAGTTGCGAGTTTTCAAGGGGGAACAAAGTACGATAAACATCGAATCCGACAACCTCCTTTAACTACATTAAACAGCAAACCTTTAGTTTCTCCTACTTAAAATAAACAAGGGTTTCCTACAGCAGAACCTTTCTAGTCATTTCATTCCAAGGGTCCTGAACCTGCCCCTGAATATTCCCAACCTCACCACAACCAGATGCCTCATTCACCCGCCCAAGTGAAGAACCATGTAGAGCCAACTACGAGAAATAGCATAAGATGCATCTGCTAACAGTCGCCACTGCAGATAGTAGTCATGCCCCAGATTTAACGATCCTGCTCATAATAATTTTCTAAAATTAACTGTGCTGCCCTGGTCCCCAGTTAAAAGCCCATTTCAAAAGCATCTCGTGGCATCTCGGCACCTCAACTGCCCTCTGGGTCAGAAGCTGCCACCCCCTTACTGTACAGGGAGCTAGCCCAGCTTCCACTGCCGAATGGAAACCTTCAGGCCCAAAGCCAAATTATCCAAGGTGAATGAATGAGTCCTATCAGCCATTACGGAAAAATTCAGAACACTACCTCTTTTTTAAAGGCCTCGACTTCGTTTGATTACATGAAAAAGTTACCCAGATGTGATGCCCAAAACAAAACTGCAGACAAGCCCCATGGTTTTTTGGTTTAATGATTTATTCACTTTATGATTTAAGGTATGTATCACTACTCCAGTTGAGTAAACCACATTGAAAAATTTGACTGCAGGTCTTTAGATACAGCCAAATGCTTTCCATTAATTTTGCTCTATAAAATATTAAACATTATTATTAAATTAATACTTCAGCCATGCTCAGAACGCTGCAGTATAAGGATGAACTTGACCCGCTCATGCCAAGTTCAAGCAACAGGAACAGAACTAATGAGCTATAATGTCTAAAAGAATCAGAGAATCTAGCAGAAGATGAAGAGATTCGGTTCCCCCCAACTAAACGGTTCAGTTTTAAAATTCAGCCTACACTGTTCTTGAGAGACAGAGAAAGCTAACTTTTTTTTAAGTACCACACAAGTATGCAATCTCCCATGATTTGTTCTGCATCTAAACTGGCACAAAGAAAACCCTTCAAAAATCTAGCTGTCAGAACTAAGTTTTCCAAAGAGAAATCACGACCCTTTCTCTGGTGGGCCGCAGGATTATTCCATGCTGGGGGCACAGGTGACAGCAATGAGACCCAGAAAGGGAAAGCTAGGACTAGGAGACAAATGCACTGGGTGCATCTGAGGTTAAATGCAATAGAAAAAAGTAACAAATGCTAGTTTTTTAAAAGTTTAATGAAGCCAATAAGGCATATAAATTGTGTTCTGGCAGACATTAAGACCTGCTTTCTCTTACCAAAGAAAATGGCACATACTTTATCAAAATTTGACAATTCAGAGTAAAGGGTACTGAGATTAAGCTTCAGAGCACCAACTTAAACAAAACAACCAAAAAAAATTGTTATTCAACTTGGAAAGAGGAACTAGAACCAAGGCATAAAGGGGAGATTAGACGTGTGTTCCTCCATCTCCAGTCCTCAGGAATGGGGGTTCTGGTCACTTGTGAGCCAACACATCACACCACTGAGCCCCAATTCCAGAATCAAAATTTACAACAATAGAAAAACAAAGGTAAACTCCAAATGCATTTCTTGGTATATTCCAAGGGAGGCTTGAAAGTATTCATAATACATAGGCTTGTCCGTTTCAGGTCAAATGACAGGTTGCTGTAATTCTTCCTATTATATTCAAACAAAAAATGATCCACTTTTACAAAATTTAGAGATACCTCACTTTCATTCCTAGTTTTAGTATGGAATTCTCTTCTTTAAATAAGGGCTCTATCTATAATGATACAGAACTTCAATTCACACAGTATTTCTAACATTCCATTCACATCCCACCCAGTCAGTGAATATTATGGTTAACTTAGCAAAGTTTCTTCACAAAAAGATATTATTAAATGGCTGAAGAAATTGCAAACTTTAACAAAGTGCAGTAATTATTGGAAAAACCCTTACACTGATTTGCAATGGTATTTTTAGGATAAAAATAGGAAGTAACTCATACTGGACTACAAGTTTGCAAGGAAACATTTTTCACTGTCCTACTTGATATATAATAATATGATAGAATAAATTACAGTACCTGGCAGGCTGACATCAGTTCTTCATCTAAAAAACACTATCATTCAGTTCAAGAGATTAAAAAGGAAGATGAAACATGCTCTAAAACATTGTAGCTACAAGAGATCTTATATGTACTCAAAAGAGGAATCTATTGAGAACTTTTATTTAGGTCTACCTAACATCTAGAGAACCTCCATGCCATTCCATCTTATCTGGAAGGAGATTCCAGACTGTACTTTTTAGGAGAGGGATTGAAGGGACAGGGGAGTTGGGTTTTGATATTTAAGTTGCAATCACATTATTAGTATTTAAAATAGAGCGTTATCATCTTCCACCCATTCCAATGGAAACCGCACACAGCAGGGCATCCAGGAAAATGTAAAATAATAGACTGGAATACCTACCCTCCACCATCCATCTCCCTCTCACTGAAGGGAACAATGAGTCACAAAGGAAGGCCAATCTCAATGGTCACGACCTCTGTGCTCCAAGTCTCCTTGAATGCAGTCTACACATTTACATTTACCATAAGGAAAATACTCCCCACAGGAAGTAGTACTGTCTTAAAACTGAATATTTTAAGCCTACAGAGTTAATCCGGGGGCAGTTTAATAATATTGCTACTTTTAGAGCACTAACACACACAAAGTGAATCCAATAGAGTTCTGTGTATTGACTATTAAGTATTAATTGCATGACCATCATAGCACCTCTTTACATCACACAATCACCAGAATTAGAAACTGCTTTGAAAACTAAAAACAGGGCACAGTCCAATAACTCGAAGTGGCACACTGCTACTATATAGAAACCAGGTGCATGGTACAGTGCTGCTGCAAAAA